ATACCAAATTTGTTGGAGAAAGATGGATAAGAGAGAATATGGAAGAGAGTTTTAAACAGAAATACTGAAGCTTTATTGATTTCCTAAAAATTGATTACAACACTAGGCCATCTTATTGGCTATTTATAATAATATTCAGATCTTTTCATAACAGACATAACTCTTGGATTAGTTCCAAGAGTTGCAGACACAACTCTTGACTTCTAAAGAGATACAACTCTTCTTAAACATAACTCTTCTCAAGAGATACAACTCTACTTTAAAAACTGATACAAATGCATTACGTTTAACAGTAGTGCCTTGCAATACACAGCCCCCGTTGCCAGAGAAGAGGAAAGAGTTGGGAAGTTTGAGCATATCTCCAAGCCAATCCATGACAATGGTTTCGAGCTCAGTTGCAGCTGGGGATGCAATCCAATTGAACCCCACAACATTGAAACCAGTGGTGAGCATTTCGCCGAGGAACCCTGCGGTGCTGATAGTTGCAGGGAAGTAGGCAAAGTGGTTAGGGCTTTGCCAATGTGTTAGGCCATGGATAATGTGGTCCTGAACGTCTTGGAGGATGGTTTCAATAGGTTCAGGGTCGTATGGGGCAGATTCTGGCAAGCGTTTTTTGAGATAGCCCGGTTGGACTTGGGTAAGAACTGGGTATTTTTCAATTGTTTTGTAATAATCAGCAATGAAGTCTATGACCATGTGGCCTTGCCTTCTGAATTCCTCAGGGTCTAGAGGGCTAGTGGTCATGTGGGCAGAATTGTTTTCTTGTTGATGCTCGAATACGAGGCTGGCCATTTGGATGTAATATTGGAAATGGGAAACACACAACGAGGGCTGGGACTGGAAGAGTGAAATAAGAATTGTTATTGAGTACTTGAGTTCCACTTAGTGAAATCAGCATGGTTATATATAAAGGGGTTTTATAGAATATAAAATCCCAGGTGGAGAATTCTAAGCCTTATATTTCGATTACAGGAGATCTTCAACTTCTCTATGTATTGCTGACTAATAAGTTTAGGTTGAATGCCTAATTTTAGCGTGGCCGGTATCATAGCGGACAATTTATCCGCGTGTAGAACCCAGTTTGGCTAAATGCGTTAGGGTTTGGGTACTTCGCATAAATTAGTGTCTGCCATAACAGTTAATCCCAACTCATAACTAGTTGTTATGTAGTCCAATTCTCTCCAGGGTCAGGTTGAAAGGCAGATACATAGTACATAGTAGGCAAATCTATAGCAGGTGTGTGATCCCACACAAAACAACAGTTCAATTCCAGTCGCCCTAATTCTTGTATGGCTGCATTTATGCTTAGTTGCACAATGTGCTATGTGTCGTGTTTTTGTTGTTTTCGTCCTATTTCGTTATCGACCAGATGCGTATCTACTTCTTTGGTGGCTAGAAATTGGCTGTTAGGTGGTATTTATTTATTTTCAATTTTAAGTCTAAATAGGTTTTAATTGAGTCTTTCTTATACATTGAATTAATTTTTTATATCCCCATTTTTCTCCTTGAGGCGAATCATTGAAAACGAATTGAAACTCTTTGATTTCATGCATCTTTTTCCCTATTAGTTATGAATGCTATTTGAATATCTTCATTATTTCTTTATTAAACAGCAAATCTCAACCACAAACTGCGCCTAACTTGTTTGACAAGGACGGTCCGCACAAATTAATTTACCTGGGGCATTTCATCAAACACCAGGGTGCCACTTTTGCCCAACTAAATTACAACCGACCCACAAGTTGCAATAAGGACATACAATGGTTTTTACTCTAAGACTCTAAGACTGCACCCATTAGTTGATGCATAATTGTGATTTTAAATTATATGAAACTATGTCTGTTTAAAAAAAATGATCAATTTTGCAAAGATTTCTTTTGGCAGATGTTCTAATTGGCATCAGCAACTTTGTGTTTTGGGTGTTTGTTGATGCTCCATGATAAATTTTATAATAAATTCATCATATTTCTTAAACCTTGTGAGAGATCCATGATGAAAGAGACAAGAAATGATAACAAAATGTGGAGACATTTCAAGTTGTTAACTGTCAAAGTTTACAAGTTTAAAAACTAAGTGCATAATCTGATTCCATCATCTCTACTTGAAGAGCATGTGCTTGTGCTTGTGCTTCTCTTGTAGGCGAAGGTATGTCTTCAGGGTCTCTTTTGGGTTTTACCCATCTCCCATGAGCATTACAAACTAGCCCTTTATGTGGCAATTGGTACCAACATTGTGGGATTCTAAGATCATCCACCAACATGTCACATCCCTTGTTCACCAAGGCAAAGTCCCTCCTAGCATTTGACCTAAAAGTAGTTTCTGTGCTTAGAAAACCATCCACAAGATGAAGGTAGGTCTCAAGGCTATGAAACCCCGGCAAATTGAACCCGCCATGCTTGAGGTAAGGCGACGAACCAACCTCGAGCTTCAGTTCAGCTCCAACATGTGTGTAAACCCAGTCCAATGTGCCGGTTATGTCATCAAATTTCTGCAGACCCTCATTCAAAACAAGCCCTGGCATTTTAGGCACCATGTCCTGCTTAACCACAACCCTCAAGGTCTTAACCCCCATTTGGTTGAGCTCATCTTTGAAGGCAATATTGCCAACTCTAGGTGCACCAAAGGAAACCACACTGATGGGAAGGCCAGGAATTGTTTCTGCAGCTTCATAAGCATTGAGCAAAGCCAAGGCACCACCCAAGCTGTGCCCTGTAATTGTAAGGCTCACTTCTTCACCTTGTGCTCTATAAAATTCCAACAGCCTTGTCACTTCTTTCATGACTTGCTCTGAGGCACTGGACTTGTTGTACCTTGTAGTCTCACACTTGGCAGTGTAAATCCCATGGAACCCATGTTCAACTTTGGCCTCTCCATGCCCAATTGGCTCCAGTTTCCTCTGAAAATCCTCATACCACTCAGATGGCGCCACCGTCCCTCGCCAAGCCACCACAATATCCCTCCTTCCAATCCTTCTTGTCTCCAAATCATCACTGACAGCAACAAATCCCATCCAGTTTGAGTGTTTGCTCCAAGTGTCAGCCAAATGAGACCTCTCCAGCCAACTCGGCATGTCGATGTGAGACATTGCATAAATGTATTTGCTCACTGTGTAGCCATTTTTGCTTAGACCCAACACATCAAAAAGCTTGTTGTGGTTGTACCTGCAGCTCCCACAGTACTCTGAGAATGAATCGAAATCAAAAGCATCATACGTTGCTTGTGCAAATTCACCATATTTGACAATCTCTCTTCTTAGCCAAGGGTGCAGAGGGTCCAAAAGACCATCCCAATCATTTGAGCCATGAATTTCACGCCATTTTTCTGATATGCTGTCCTTTGGGGAAGTTGTGGGAGTTGAAATTTTCTCTTCAGTAAACAAATTCCAATTAGTAGAGTGAGTGTTGGTTCTTGGAGGGGTATCGATATGAAGGTGAAGGAGATGGGCTAGTGATTCAGCTAGACGATTGGCTTTGTTTGATGTCTTTGTTTGCTGGTGATCAAGAACAGCTTCTTGATGATGACTAGAACGGATTAAGGAAAACCGGGTTGCGCCAGAGGCAGCTTGAGTGACCGGAAGATGGGTGTACATCATACTTGAAAGTGCCATGGTTGACTTTGTTGATGCTGCTTAAATTTCAAAGCACACAGGCCGGAAAATTAGGACTCGAACTCTTGTGGTGGATGTGGAGATTAAGTGCTCTACCACTGGAGTTACGAGGTCCTACGGATTGAAAATTAGGCTTAGAAGATGAAGGAATTGAGGTTGGAAATGAGAGAATGGGGAACAAAGGGATCAATTTATATACAAAGGTAAGGATAGAAGACTCAACAATCATGTCAAGAAAATGGGATTTAAATAATGAATGTGTCACGCGTGGTTCGAAAGACTCAAGATATAGAAATATTTGTGTGTTGATTGACCATATGTATTTAATTTGGACTTGTTCTGGTTGATTTAGACATGGTCACATGTGTAAATCCCAATCTACCCAGCCTAACAACCCAAGCTCTAAAGGTTTGACCCTGATCATAGAGGAAATGACCAAGACTACCACTTAGAAAAGCTATATAATGGCATTGGTAATATTTTGAAACAATGAGGGCAATGCATAGGCAGACAGACCATGGCAACTTCAAGGCAAAGGGGCAACATATAGAACAAAGAAAAGATAAATACCCATTAGAAAAAGTACCTAACAAATGACTTTAACTTTCAACACGAAGTCACGGAATCCAAACCCTTCTTTTCACACCATACTCATTTAATCACGTTCTACCGTGTATAATTACAGTTTAATTAGAAACATAAGCATCGAATTGCGACCTATAAGTGCAATTTTACACTCCCTAGCCTCTTCGCACGCACTTTTGCGTCTGCGAGAGGTTTTTTTTTTAAATATTTTATTTTATTTTATTTTAGAATTAAAAATAATAATGAATAGTAATGCTCCATAAAAATAGGACATATTATCTGATTTTATTTTTAATTTTAATTTTTTTTAATATAAAAATTATGAATTTATCATATTATCCTCATTTAATTAATAATTTTAATTCTTAATATTTGAATTAATCAAGGGCATTTTATGGTATTTTGAACAATAATAAAATGAAGGTCACTAATAATATACTTAATCAAAGTTGACCCACAAAAAGCCTCAATCCATGACAACAGAGGCAACTGGGAAGCTCTCGGCTCATACCTAACCTAGCCGAACCTTTTTGTTCTGGTTCTTCCACCCATACATATATCACCAAAAACAAGCAACCAAAACAAGAAATGAAAAAAAGTCTTTCAATTGACAATACTTCATTCAGTTGTTAACCATAAAGCAAAATTAATTCGAACCCGGCTATAACACAAAGAAAACGGGATGGGAAAAACCTTTGATTTCGGTATAACAGTTGATGCAAGTGCCTTCTATCAACCATACAGCTTAATTCATAGGATCCATATGGTTTTACTTTGTAATAAATATGATGTTATCTCCTTCAGCTTTCCACCCACCACTAACTTAGGTTAAGAAACAAACCAGCTCTTCATATGTATGCCGCCCCAAGTCCAATGATTCAATAGGCAAGAAGAGGTTTTGAATCCCGGCAAATTGACAAGCAATTAGCTAGCTCGAAAGTCCAGGAAAAGATGCAATTTCTGCACTAGAAGCTCGCGTGTTCCAAAAGGAGGCTTGTCACTGATGATCCAATCCTTCTCAAGAAGACCCTTCTTACCACTGCTTGCCATCTGATCATGGAAAGTAGACACAATATGGTAGATTGAGTTCCTAAGAACATCAGCAATCGCATATGCTTTTGAATGAAGGGGGCCAGCTCTCTTTTTACCCATGCCAATATTCCCCGCACTAGAGGTTCTCAATTTAAAACCAGTCGACCCCATAAAATGCTGTGCAGATTGGAAATTGGTCTTCTTCCCCATGTATGATTCAACAGCAAGAAGACAAGAAATCAGTGTTGATATCACAGCAGCATTACTGCCAGAAAGCTGGGCAACCCCAAATCTGTCCTCTCTGTGTGAGCATGTAGTCAGTGAGGCAGCTGTCCAGGCACACCACGCATATAGCTGCATAAGAGGAAATATATATATAACTATTAGACTTTTTCGTCGATGAGAAATCAAAGATATTGTCTGTTTAGTTTACCCATTTCTTTTCCCACTTTTTCTGTAGAAAATCATCAACATATCATCAAGAATCTCTATGCACATTCATTTCAGTAATTTTGTGCCTAGAGGCTCATATATCTCCACACATCTCCATACATGGACCAACTAATACCTAGCAAAAACAATTGACGATATTTTTAATATTCAATAACACTATTTAAAGCCTCATGATAAAGAATGCTGAAGATTGGAGCATTGTTCTTCACATGCATTAACTCCAAGTTGCGACCAGCCAATGAGCATAATGACCATCCTTTTGTGAGGAATTGGCTCCTACAAATAATAATTAACAATGCCCAGAAGGAAAGGAGGCAAAGTACCTGTACCATGTTGTTTTATCATAAAATATGTATGGATAACTCCATGCATGATGTTAGTTCACAGTTTGAGTAAATGAAGTATGACATACTAAAAAAAATAATGCACACACTTGCAGGCACGTATCCACAAGTGTAATCAAGAAAGTATCTGTTTACCTGGAAGTTGTTCAATGGCTCAGAGTATTTTGGGTCTAGTCGCTGGTCAGTTGGAGACAGTAACTGATTCGATATTTGGGAGCTTTTTTCAACAGAACTTTCCAAGCCTTCGCCCAACTTTGATGCAAGCTGCTCCAGAGGCCGCAAGCATACATATATAACTCTTTTGTAAGTTTCACCACTTTCTTCAAAAAATGCAGCTCGTCGCCAAGTATCAACATTATTCTCACAAACCATATAGAGATCAAGATATGCAAGATACTGGAGAAGAGAATTAGGACTGCTTTCTTCCAGAGCTGAAAGGAGATGCTCACTTGGATTTGTTTCTGCTGCTGCTGATCCTTTAGGTGGTGCAAATACAAACCTCTTTGTATGAAGAACCTAGATTCCAACACAATGTCAAAAAATATAGATTGATATTAGAAGACAGACATGGTTTACTATCAAAGGAAGGGCAGTATACAACATGAACATGAAAACTGCTGATTCAATTAATCCAGACCATTTGTAATAGCAGACATAATAGCACCCATGTACACAAATTCTTTAACCAAAAAAGAATAAAAAGTATAAGAGATCAAGCTGTATGATTTATAAAGTTTCCCATATAGCAAGTTTTCTAGTGTCACTGGGCAGCTTAAGTTCACATCCTAGAAAAGTTGCTAAGTTCATATAAAAATTCCATCTAAAGCTACTGACACCAAACACTTGATTTAGCTTAGGTTCAAATTATAAATGAACTTTCTTTGACGGGTTCTTACATTAGGAAGAAACAAGGATATACGTATTAAACTGAATTATACAGGGCATATAAGAACATTTCTTAAATTTGCGCCAAAGGAAATTTTAAATAAATAACATAGCTGTGAAGCATGGACACAGACATAGGGCACAGGCATTTAGGAGTTAAGAGCTTTACGAAGTGTTAGTGAATGAAAGAAGAAATATCTCAGAATTGTCAAATACAAGTCCAAGGAGAATGAAGTCTAGAGGTTCAAGGCCAACACCATACCCATAAGGACCCTATTGCAATCATATGAGATACAGTCATATTAAAGTAGCACAGCATTGAGATAATTCTCAATAGCATTTAATTTAAGAATCCAAATTGGCACCAAGAAAAGGCTTAAAATATTGTTTATCCACCAATATGAAAAGCCATAAAAAGGCATAGAAGAAGAAACCAGTCAATTATTTACTTGACAATGTAAAAAATAGCTTAATTCCATAATATGACATCAGAGAGAAAAAAATTGAAAAATAAAATATAAGAAAGAAACAAAAATAGACAACCAATTGAACAGGTCTATGCTTCATGAAGCTCTAGTTTATTGCACTCATGACTTCTGTTACTTTTATGTCACATTCATTTTTATAATTGTACAGGGATGGGAACTAATGAAGCATTGGAAGGGGGTAATACAACACGCAAGAAATTTTCATATACCCTGGTACTTCTATATTCAAAGAATCATACACCTAATCTCATACAAACCAAAGAAGTGGATATTTGAAAAGAAAAAAAAAACAAGAACTTGCAGCAGAACAAACATCAAAATATATATTTTAGTTTATCTACTACAGCAATGTTTTTGTCAACCATGTGCAGTAGTATTGACATTAATGAAAATTAGCAACCATGTTAATATGTTTGAAGAACCAAACCTGATGTAAATGGTGACTTATTTCCCAGCAGAGAAACACTAAGAAACTCCCAATGTAAAATATAATCTGCTCAGCAATGACCTTTCCGATTGTAGCTTGGTTCTGAAGCTGGTGGGGCAGAAACACCACCAGAAAAGCTGAAAATAGGGATGCCAGGCAGGATAGCTTCAAGGATCGTGTGATAGCTGAAGGGAGTCCCATCTTGAAGCTGAAAAAAGGAGGACGCTGTTGACATAAGCAATTAGAGTAAGAGCCATGACTTGTGTGAGGAGAAAGCAAAAGGCAACATGAGGATATTTAAACAGGCTAACAATTAATTAAGACTGAAAACTTAGTAAATCTGAGTGCAACTCAAACAGTCTCAACTCTCAACCGGTAAATTTAACATGCTTCTACATCCAACGCGTATTGCAGCTCATAAACAAGAAAATTAAAAATATCTAAAAATGGGAAAACCCTTAATTACTCAGAGAACCCAATGACAGATAGCATCTCATCGTATTTAACATGATTTGGCAATTTATAGCAAAACTAGGATTGTTTCTTTCTTTTGCTCCCCCCTCCTTTTGAGCTCTACATCATAAAACATGAAACTACTGTAATCATCCTAGATATCTAAGGTATGAACGCAATTTATCGAAATATGATTAGTTGTGTGTGCAACTAGAAACTCACTTTCAATCAATTGACTAGGGTATTTGAACATCTAATCATAGTAATCTACCATTTTATCCAAACCCAGATGCTCTTTACTCCACTAAAACAAACACAGAATGAAACATTATTTTACACAGCCTGCACACTTTGAACCAGCCATTCATTTTACTTCTGCTACTTCCAGGTTTCCCAGCAACCAAAGCTATAGCACCAAAAACTATAACACACTATAGCAGCAAAGAGTATAACATAATTTTTCTTTTAGGACAAAGAAGAAAACAGAGACAGATTCAAAAGATGTACATAAGTAGCTGAAAGCTGACCTGAATAATGGGAAACTCGAAGACCCATCTGCGGTAATAGACATAATACAAGCCATAAAGCAAACCCATCACAAAACCCCTAAACCCCACTGCCCCAATCATCCCAACCCCATCACCAAATTTCACACACACCGAAACCACCGCAACGAACCCCGAAACCGCCACCGCTGCCAAAAACAGCAGGAACCCGACCGATAACTTAGCCCGAACCCGAGACTCGGGAGACTCTGATAAATCGGAGCCACCGGGAACGAAAAGGAAGCGTATGAGGCCGAGAGCGAGCTGAAGAGGAGAGACTAGGCCGCGGGGGTGGGGTGAGGAGATGAGGGAGAGTGAGAAGGAGAAGAGAAGCTGTGAAAGGTGGAAGGTCAAGAATGTAATAAAGGAAAAAACATACGGGGCAAAGGGGAATGGGGGTTTGGCGGTGGAGTGAGAAGTGGAAGAGATGGTTGATGAGAGGGTTTTGAAGATGAAGAAGATGACAGTGGAGGGGATAGATTGCCATATGAGGAACCCTAAGAAGCGGTTGTGGACCACCATGCCTGGTGGCGAAGATGAAGCCATTGGTTTTCAAAGGGTTTTGTGTGGGTTTTTGGAGGTTCAGACAAATGGGTCTTGTGTTGTGGCTTTGAAATCTTTCATGGAGAGTTTTATGGTGGCGTTTGAGGTTTTTGGCCCTGCTGAGAGGCGCCAACTATGAGCGTAGCTTGGTCTAATTGATGGTTTTATTTTTTTATTTTTATTTTTCAAAAAAATTGTATTTATTTCTATTGCTTTTTTAATTATATAAATTATTTTAAATTAATCTGATCTATAAAACGAAATTCGAACTTGAGTGCAAGGAAGAACGCTGCCCTAATCAATTAGCCTAATCCGTCTGCGCTTTTTTTTTTCTTTTTTAATAAGAATCAAGATTGCTTTAATCAACAGGAACATGATTTGTTTGCAAATTGTGAATCAGAGGAAACAACAAAGTAACAAACTAAATCATGAAATCTAAAGGACGAGATGAATCATCAGTAATGCAGACATAATTCCTGGTGCAAAAACAGAAGAGACCCATATTCACATCAAACATGACTCTAAAAGAAATTCCACCAGACAAACATTACAAGGAATATATATGCTACAAACGCAATGCTGAGGGGTTCCTAATCACATGTTATAAACAACTGAAAAATCATCCAAATCCAAACTAGTTTCAGTAAAATCAAACAAAATCACTTCTAAACGACACGACTGACTATTATACACTAGGCAAATGATCCTGCTCTCGAAACATGAGATTGAGCGTCTTCGAATTGATCATCATCTATCTTCTCAGATCCCAGGCTTGGTGGGATGAAAGCTCTGTAAACTTGCTCCATGTTAGGAAGTTCCTTTAGTTCATGAGCAGCAACTTCAAGAGCAATGTCTTGGAAAGCCCGATAGAATTTCTTGCGGCAGATGAAACCAAAGAGCAAGGACAGGATGGGCAGTACGATTAGGAATGGTGCAAAGACGAATTTTTTCACACCAAAGTAACCAAACATGGTAACTTGGTACAATATCAGAGATGCAAGAACTCGAACGTGCATGTGGGGCCACATCCTTCCATAGCTTTCGTATGCGGGAACATAAACTTTGAGTGCCTGCTCAATCAAAGAATAAGCTTTAGTTTTTGATAGCATATATCATAGGCTGTGCCTAAACTAATAGACAAATGATAAAGAGTTTTTCAACTGAAAACTGGAAACTGGCAATCCATAGAAGACAGAAGTATACCTGATTCCGAAGGACAAGCCATCCAATGCCAAAGTACAGAACACCGAATGGAACAATCAGTGGGGCAATAACAGAGTAGCAGAGGACAATTGTAATGATGAGCATATCACCAGGCACTCTAGTCCCATAACCAAGATCACTGGGAAGCCACGCTGCTTTCAACTCGGCTTCGGTCTTACAAAGATACTTCCTCTTTATATGGAAAATGATTAGAGGAACTATTCGGGACAGTTCAAGACCATAGCCAACGAAAAACCTGTCATCAATGGAAGTTATGAAAATCAGTTCACTATTAAAGGCATGATTGTTGTGGACAAGTAAGAATGAAAGCTCCTTTATATTCACCCCAAATAGCAGTTAAAAGAAGCGTTAGTGTCCAACAATAAGATACTTTGCAATCTCGTTTCAGTTTCTGATACTGAAAAAGAATAGCTAGAAGGTGTAAACTGTCACTTACTTCAGAGCCACAAAGGTGAGGAAGTAAGTTGCATTGCTGGGTAGGCTAGTTGCTAGTAAGGTGACAATAGAGTTAGGATCCTTCTCAATGGTCTTGAATGTACTGTATAAGGTTCCCCCTATTGTAACTCCAAGAAAAACATTGAAGATAGTGAAATAAAAATATTTCCCAGAAGCAGCCCTTATAGCATGGCTCTGAGAAGGGATTCCCTCAGCCTTAGACAAAAAGAAAAGGAACTTGGGCAACAAAGCTAGAAAGATTATAAGTGCAATTTGAGGTAGATAAGCCTCTAGCACTGTCTTAATTGCAGCTTGATTCACAACTGGCTTTAGAAATGGGAGAAGTTTCTTGAGATTGTCCAATGTTGTGAATGCAGAGATAAATGCAATTGGAATCATATAAAACACAACGGTCAGAGCCACGATGATGTACACAACATACTGCCGTACTTGCCTCTGGAAAAACTTAATTTTAAGATTAGGCCAAAGGACTTGACGAGGCTCAGGAGCCTCAGTGACTGTCCATGTGTCAACAATTTGGGCATGTAGAGTCTGAGCTGCAGAAGCTGCAGTCACCCTATTGGTGAAAAAAACTAGAGCAGCATTTTCCTGCTTCTCTCGGAGAGTAGCTTTTTGTTCAGTCTCCAGTTTTGGGATTAATTCATTGATCTTCTCAGTGTAGTAATCTATACTGTCCACCTTATTCCCACAAAGACCAAGGAAGCCAGTTTTGTTAGTGGGTCTTTTTCCTTCTGCATTGCCAGTATTTTTCGATGCTGCATAAATTGATTCAGCGCGTGCAAGCTTCTTCTTATACTTTTCTAACTCTTCCCAGATTTTGTTGACCTACATAAGAATAAAATTAGCATGAATGGAACTAAAATAGGAAGCACACCATCAACAGTCATTGAGAAAGCATAATCATCTGATCTACTGTACTTTCTCTAGGCATCTTGAATTTTTACATGCTCTAAGTAAAAGTGGAATTTATCTGACCCAAAAAAAGATTCCAGACGCCCAAATAGATAATAAAATTTAATGTTAAGGAAGAACGATCAATTGTGATAAAAGTCCTATCCTAACAGAAACCTGGAATAGCCAAACCCAATCAGAGATGTTCACGCCCATAACAGAGAACAAAGGCACAAAATGCTTAGGGAAAGGCAAATCGAGAACCATACCTTTTTATTATTTGTGACCACCAATGATCTGTAAAATGTATCGGGGTAGACAGTCTTAAAATAAGAATCGACCTGTTCCTTTCTAAGTTGACCTGCAGGAGCCGCAGGTATGTCTCTAACAAGAATTGCAAATTGTTCAGGCTTCACTTGAGGAGACATTAAAGCATTGGCTCTAAGGGCGGAGACATGTTTATATGCCTTCCACAACAAGAAATATGTAACAAAAGAAACCCAGTAGACGCCTATAAGAAATGCCCACAACCTAGGACTCTTCTCCTGTACACCCAAAAAGACATACATAAACGAAGTTAGTATGAGTTCATGTTCATCATGTTAGCACTAACATGAACAGCTAAAAAACTAAAAGCGCCCAACTCAGGAACCCGAATGATATCATTCGAAAAGATTATAAGAAAACCCAGAGCTACCACAATTAAAAATGGTTGTTTGATCCCATGGGAAAAGAAGAAAAAGACCGAGACATTCATGAAAATTTGTATAGCTTACCTGGAGATGTCCCATGGATAACTTGTCAAGGTCACTAAAAGTGCCATTGCTTGTGGCATTGATGGATAACTTGCTTCCAACGTCAGTGGCAGCAACCGGCAGAAGGACTGGTAGCAGTATAAGGCTGGATAAAACCAATATTCCCAACACTGGCGCATCAATAAGAAAGTTAGAACTTCAAAATTTTGCACTTTATAAACAGACAAAAATTAACATGTTTAGGTCAAGCATTGCATACAGTTTTTACCCAAACACGGAAACAAAATAACCACGTTGCATACAGCTTCTCCTGTAACAACTACTGTGTTCAAGTTCACCCATGACATAAATATCTTATTCACCTTGCAAGGCACAGTATCCTAACATAAAATTCCATTCATTTTTACACAAATCCATAGTTTTAAAAGTAAAGGCCAACTGGAAACACGCTACTCATACATTAATGCAAAGGAGGTGAACAGGGCTACAAGAAATAGACTTAACCTTTAAAATAAGTAAGGTTTTGGGTATAAACAAGCTGGTAGAACACTACTCACTGATGAGCTAGTTTATGAAATGCAGAAAAGAGGAGAAGAGGGCTACAAGAAACAGGCTTAACCCTTAACTATTCACATAAATAGCAACAATAGAAATCTGAGAGTAGCCTTCAAATTAGTCCATCATACCAAATCAACAACAAAGCTCTAATAATTTCAGGCTTTCAGCAAATGAACAAAACCCAGAAAGTGTCAGGTACAAACAAAAGAGAAAACAGTAATTTTTAAACTTGTCAAACAGGCAAGAGGCAGAGACAAACCAGTGCTCAAGAACACAAAGTACACAGCAGTGTCAACCCCTGACATGGAGATAACTTCCTGTTCTGTGGAAGTTAAAGCCTCTTTGATCCAAGCAAACGGGTTTCGGGTCTTGGACCCGCCCTCCCATGGATCCAAGCCTCTTAAGATCCGATTGGGATAGTAAATCACAGTGTTCCCAGGCTTCCTTGAAAGCCATGCGAAGAGAAACATCAAAATGACGAAAATGGCAAAAGACGTCCCTAAGGACGTCAAGAACGAAGTGAGATCCATCTGGGTTTCTCTCTAAACACCAAAAGACTCAAACTTTCTCTTCCCCTACGCACTTTTGGAATGACAGTTCAGGTGACCATATATGTATATGCACAAAAACACTTGAAAATAAGATAAGAAAGGAAATGAAATAAGAGAAACAGAGAGAAACAGAGCCGTTATAGGGGCATTGAATTGAAGGAAGGGAAAGTAACCGTTGTGAAAGAAGAGGAAAAGCTGAGGAGGTTGATAGCTTTAGGTGGTTGTGTGATGTTACAGTCCATAAAAGGCAATGCCATAGCCAAAATGAATGAGCAAACGAAAATATCTCGAGTGTGATTAGCTCGTTGTGGCCCCTGTTGGGTTGGCAATTTTATTTTTGGGGGACAAAGAAGTTGGAGTGCTTTAGTTCAAAGGACAAAAATAGGCTGCCCTCCCTCCTCACCGTCACTGTGTAAAAAATCCCAAAAAAACAAAAGCGAAAAATAAAGTTCGTTGCCAACGGAGTCCAACCCAGTGAAAAAAGATTTTATCTTGTAAACTAGTGTCTTTAAGTTTGAGCTCCTATGACACTTTAGTATCAGTTTCTAAACTACAATATTTGTATTAAAAAAAATTTGTAATCTGTTGTGGCTCAATCCTCAATATGAACGTAAAAATATGTCAAATTTAATGTTTTTTTAAAGGTGTAAAATAATGTTTCATAATTTGAGAATCGTTATTCCCAAAGATGACAAGTTTGCTTGCAGAAAACATAAATGTGTAAAAATAAAAAAATTCCCATGTGATCCCTTTAAATATAGACGTTTTGTAACGTTGGGGAGATGAAAGCGTCCATTGAAGGAAGCAAATAAACAAGAATTTTACAGTTACAAAACTGTGCACTTACAACTTGGCATTCCTTGAATCGTCATTTTAAGCTTTAGGGCAACTTTTGATTTCATAGCTTTACGTGAAAGAGATTACAGATGAGATGGCGTTTGGTGAGTGGCTTCTATCAAGTGCTTTTGACTTAAAAAACAATCTAATGTGATTCTGTATGGCCATTAAGAATTATAGCTGACGATTTATTTTAATCAAAGTTTGCTATTTTAAGACATTCACACTAAAGAAAATAAAAAAAAATTGTGGCCTTATCACTAATACCATACATGATACATTTATGCGATTAAATTAAGTAAAACAGCTTTTAGCCATGCATGTTTTGGTTCTTAGAGGGATTTGGTCAGCAGCTTGGAGTTATGGTTAAAACCAAATTTAGAGCATTCTGCTACGGAACTCTTAGCTCAGAATAATCTGAATAAAAGAATATAATATGCAAGAAGAGAAGCAAGGCAAGAAAAGCATGGAATTTGTAAAGACTTGCACAAAATAATTTAAGACAAGTATAATTGTGTCCTCTCTCTCAAAAAAAAAAAAACAAAACAAAACAAAACACAAGCTCTAATCTACCTTATCAAATTCAATATGGTGTTATCTACACTCCTTAAACATCTCTTACCCTCCTTCTCGGAGAAAATGCAAAATAAAGTGATCGTCAAATTGTCACATAGGACGATATTATTGGTATGTGATTGACCTTATTTATAAGGTTTTTTTAAGTATAAACGTTAATTTAAACTACAACCATCAAGACCAACTCGGTTGACTGTGGACTTAAAACATTACTGAAAAGAGAAATATTAATAATATTTGACATTTTTGTACTATTTGGGTCCTTGAAAGCTGCGGTTCACACTTGGGCCCCGAAAGGTTAATTCTGTCCTGTTGCGGAAGTTACGGCTTATGGGTGGTTGGGTACAAATGGGCTGATCAGATTTTTCACACGGAAACGACACGTCCGCCCAAAGTCCGTCGTACGACGTCGCATCGGGAGCTTATAAATCGAGTAAGACTAACTTCACCAACTCGAGCGAGTGGAGATGACTAGCCACTTTGCCAGCTTAGAAGAGCAAAACACTGATGGCGTCGGAAACGTGGCAGCATCGTGTGCTGCCGACAGATATCAGTCTACGTGCTTTTTCGACCGTTTCCCTACGGTCCAAATCGGGACCCACTTTCCGATAAGAGTTAGCTCTTTATTTTTAGGGGGGCCGCGGCTGCCCTGCGAGTCAGTGTTGTTTTCGCGTATTGGCTTGTCCTGTTGCAGAGCTTGTGATTGGGTGGCACGTGGTACAGGGGAAGACTCGTGGGCCGCTGCCGCGAGTCACTGTTGTTTTCGCTTATAGGCTTGTCCTATTGGAGAGCTCGTGATTGGGTGGCACGTGGTACAGGGGAAGACTCGTGGGCCAGGACACGTGGGGGTAGCCGGGAGGTTGGGAATGGCAGTTGCGTGAGAAGGACTGGACTGAATCGATGCGATCCACATGGCACTGCCACCTGTGCCCAATTAATCTTATCGATACCGAATGAAACTGTGGCTAAAATTCCCTTTCACAAATGGGTACCCAATTCTTCCTGATCCTGATAAAGGAGAAAAAAAGATTGCGCTTGTGTGGCCCCAAAAAAAAAGGCGTTTCTGAATTTAAAAAAGAAGAAGAATGCGTTTCAAAATTTGACATTTAATGCACGATATGTTTAGGGCTTGTTTAGAATTGGATGGAAAAACACTTGTCTAAAATGGAGATATCAATATTTTGATATACTTTGTCAATCACAATATATCATCGTTATTCTGATTGCAGTTAGGAATAGCAAAACAGTAATATCTATTTTTCTGTTCTGGCGAGATGCTTGATAGAGTAAGCTTTTTGATAAACCTCAAGTCCTTTGATATTCACTATTCGGTTGATTTATTGTATGGTAAAGATTCAATAAGAACAATGAGTAGTGCTTCCTTGAGTGCTGAGCAATCAGAATACAGCTTTCTAATTATTATTCCGACAAAAATCATTGAACAGTGATTTTATGGATGATTGCTTCATATCTTTCCTTTTCTTTCAGTAAGAGCAACTCCAACGGCAAGTCCAGCCAGAGGCTGGGGGAGAAAAAAAACCTCAGTTCCAGCGAGGAGTTCAAGCTCGGGTTGGGAGTGGGACCCATGAAGTCGGGCTGGCCCTCAGGCCAGTTTAGCCCGAGCTCAAACTCGAGGGCTGGGCTGATGTCATTGCTGACTCCAGCGGCGTTAGCCCACTCATTTGAATTTTTTTTTTCTGTTGCCACGTGGCGTCGTCTGGGCTCTTTGATCAGATTTTTTTTTTCTCCAATCCAACGGCATGTAATTTTTTTGCAATAAAATATTGAAAAAAATTTGGATTTTTTTTAAATACCCAAAAATTAATGCATTTTTTTCTATAAATACCAACCAATTTTTTATAAATTTATATTAAATTGAAAATTGAAAATTTTATCCGATTATGAGATAGGAACCCGAAAATCTTATCCGAAAATATTATCAAATTAATTATTGAGGTAAAAAAAAATTTGTGAAAAAAACAAAAAAATGAATAGTAATTGCTTTTTGTCATGACAACAAGTAGAAACACAAAATACTATTTGCAAGGGCAACTACTATTCACGTAAATAGTGGCTGCCCTAGCCCCCCCTTACCATGGCTAAGGGCAAATGGATAGAGTTGCTCTAATGCTCAAATGACACACCAGGAAAGTGGCCAATCACAAAAAGTTTAACTAAATACATAAATGTAATAGTGTGGTGCGCTCGCAACCAACTCGTAAGTAGGAACTCTTCCGTTCCTGGCAATGGTAGTATAACATGTGCATAAGTTTTTCTATTTGTATTTTTTTTAAATGTATCTCCTCCCAGAGAAGGAGACAATTCCCAGTGGAAAACACAAACTTGTTTTTATATTTTTCATTTTGAATGAGGGCAAAAAAAAAATCTATGGGTCTCTTTGCAAATCAAAGGAAATAAGAAAAATATGTAGGATCATAATGATATACTACTAATCTCATACTTCTTCTATCTTGAGAAACTCCAAAACATAAATCCCATATGATATTGGAAAAAATTTAGTTTCGACAAAACCTACATGTTTTGCTAAGTTAGCAAACTCAGTTGTTGTTCGTTCCTTACCGCCAGGACATGCCATCATTGTGATGTCCAAGGTTACTATGTTCAACACCGCTTTTGTCTTCTCAAATTCTTCAGGTATTGCAAATTCCACAACTATCACCTTCCCACTTTTTGGCAATGCCTCCCAACAATTTCTCAATACTTTCTTGCATTGATCATCTCCCCAGTTATGGAGCACCCACTGCAAGCCATGTAGATTTAGTTAGCTACGTTTGTTTTTGGGGTCATGACTCATGCATAGATTAATGACCGATATTCAATCACACGCTTATATACGACTGATGCTAGCATCTAAGAATTAAGAAATAAGCAAACTAACCTTCAACATAATCGATTGTGCATCTGGTATAGTCTCAAACATATTTCCACCAACATGATTCACACTTGAATGTAATAAGTTTACATGATGGTTAAGATTAATATAACCAAACAATGGGTCAAATTCATAAGAAAAGAAGAAAAAAAGTGTACATGAGATTTGACCAAAATTGGATTCGAATCCTCTGCTTATTTTGACTTTTAATTTGTCTTCTAATTTTGATGATACTAAGTTACTAACCTTGGTACGTAGGAGCTTGGGCAACAACATTGGGCAAATCAAAGTTAATTCCATGGATGTGGGGATACACGGAAACTACTTCTGACATTGAAGTTCCAATGCCACCCCCTACATCCATCAACTCCTTCACCTCCTCAAACCCTTTGTAAACCTTTTAACACCTCACTAAAATTTAGGTTAGAAATTTCAGCCATAGACTTGTTAAACAATTGGCTCATCTCAGGTTTCTTGGACATGTACTCATAAATGGTAATTCCATGGGCCTTGCAGAAGGGCAAGCAGTCTGGTTCAAGCACTGTGTCCTTGAGCATATACAAGGTCTTCACAATCTCAAGTTCAGAGTTCAAAATTATAAATGCGGCCAATGAAACTCCATTTTCATCTGGAACCAAGCAGAGTGTCTCATTTGTGAGGCCATAAGCCCTTTCTTGCAATGTCTCATCATTTGGGCATGGTTTTAGGGTTGTGGATAGGAGGGAATGGGCAACCAGCAGTCTCAGAATTCTCTCCAAATTCCCAGCTGCATTTGGATTTGAAGTTGGAATTTGTGAGGCAATTTCTTTTGCTGTGAGATGAGATGCAGGCCCTGACTTGGCTATGATGCTGAAGACATTTAGCTCAATTGCAGCTTTTAGGGTCATTTGGATGGGAATCAAATTTATCAAACTCCTAGCTGAGATAATATTTTCAAGACTTCTCTGGTTTTCCATGTTTGTGTTTTTGGGTTCTTGTTGTAGCTAGCCTTGCTTAACTTGGATCTTGGGCACCATTTATAAAAACTGTTGAGCTTCTTGCATAACTCCAGCCAAGATTGAAGGAAAGGTCAATTCCTTGGTGTAACTGATGGATAAGGCAAGACTTTCTCCCGCGGTGGACATTAATTTCCGGACCAAAACTAAAGCTGGACCTAGTTAATCCCTTTGATTAATGCTCTCTTATATCCCTGAATTTGAAGATAAATAACCAAATTCACATGTTGATTTAATTAACATAAATAACTTCAAAGCCATCAAGCAATTTTACTGAAAAGTTCGAGAAAAAAAACCCCTTCACAACAAAGCCAAACGCTGCATGTTAGTATTGATGATGCTATCAATCGCTGGATGTTAAATCATGACCATAATATACAATGTAGTGGGGTGAACCCGTCCAGCAGCCCCATTTTACAACACAATCTACATTTGGAAGTCTTGGATGATTCATTTTGACAAAACCATTTCTCACAATTCATTGTTAGGAGTTCGTACTTTTAATCCAAACTAAATCGGGATGAGTCGGTGGCTTCCAGAAAGAGAGGGTGAGGAGTTTCCCAATCTACTCATGTGAAGCACAATGCTCGGTGTCATCTGAAGTTACAGCATTGCGCTCGACCACGAGCCAACTTGTCCCAAAGACAGATCATTTGCCTTGGGGATTGGTAATGTGCAGTGTAATAGTTCTCCATGCATCCATACTGACAAAACTTCCAGTTATGGGAGTACTGGACGGTCGCCATGGAACTGTTGAACTGCTCAACCCACATTCCCATGCTCACATCCTCCATCTTGAAAAGCTGCAACCAAACACTCATTATGTTTAGTAACAATACAATGAGACTCGACAGAACTTGGTAGGTGGCTACAAATGTAACCATGTATGTATTACTTTCTTTTTCTTTTGGCCAACATGTTACTTTCAAAATTTGCAACGCACAAGGATGGAAAAAGAAGGAAATCATCTTCAGAGAGGAAATAAGTCAGACAATTAGTAACTAACCCTTAGGCTTCGACTCCCATGCTGAGAAATGACAAACTTAGCAATATCAATGGAAATTATATATCCAGGGCCATTAGCATATGGAGGATAAACTTCTTCTGGCCACTCCTGTCACAATAGACAATAATCCTTCAGATATATAGAGGGGGGAAAAAGAGAAAGTAAATGAGAAAACCACACACAGAAAGGGAACTTAACATGCATCCCCTTTGAAAATTTTCAGTCCACTAGACAAATTAAATTTAGATAACAGCAATAACAATAGGGAATTTAGGATGCCGTATACAGGGAAATTATTTTCTTGTCCATTCATATTATTCTCCTGGTACCATGGAGTAAAACCTGTGTGCATTTACTTGCTAGCAACCCAATCCACCATTCCACTATATTCAATTTTCAGAATATCTGATTAAGAAAAGTAGCTTCTACTAAACAGATAGGTCAAGACATTCCGAAAACCCACAAGACAACTCATCAAATACAACTATTGAACAAAAGCAGATAAATGGATGACTTAAACAAGTAGAGATTCACGCCAACTTGCATACCTCATAGGTTACAGCCCATTTTCCACTTCTAAGAGGGCGATGCAAGAGGTTAAGATTGCCCATATAAAGGGATTTTTCAGAAGAGATGCCTTCAATTTCCTTTAATACAGTGTCCACTCTAACAAATGTGTCATCGTCACATTTCATGATGTATGCAGCTGTCACGTTCTGGACCTGCATCAAGGTGTTGAAGCTTTTAAAAAACACAAACTCAGGAGAAAGGCCCAGTTGAATGGTTTCCAAACTACAGACACAAATATGAACATCTGATCGAACAATATACATACATATGTATAATGAATATATATATATATATGTATGTAAACTCACACACCTAGATATGTACACTCAATGAAGGAATACAGGAGGATAAACCGAACTCACCCCAAACTCACAAATAGAGATGGTTTTCAGAACGACAAGCTCATAGCGATCCATAAAGGGCAAAATCACAATGTCACCGAAGTAAGCAGCCTCTTTCTTCAACACTGCATTTACCTCCTTCCTCGGATTCTGCAGAACTTAATAATTAGTACCAATTATTGAAGGAAAGCATGAATATGGAACAGTTTGATTCAATATAAGCTTTGACCTCATATCCCAATAAACCCGTTTTATGTAGCAACCTCAATCATCTACAAGTTCTTGTGTTATATTATTCAAGTTCTTCTGTTTTTGTTGCGAGAAAGATTTCAAAGGTTATGACCCTAAAGGCACAATTCAGTTTATTGATGACAGATAGTGCGAAATGATCCAAGAATAGAATTTGAACTTCAACCCAGTCATTCCTACAAGTTGGAATCCATTTACAGAGAGTACTTTTTAATTTCATCAAAACAATTTGAACAAGTGCATTCCATATTACATAAATGAACCCCCATACAATTCAAAAACCATATCTACATCAGCTTCCAGGCAATGAAATTCAAACATCAATCTGGCCTGTATGACATGTTAAAACAGATGTAATGCAGCTTTCCTCTTTCAGTTAAAGATTCATCTAACACAAACAAAAGCCAAAACTTCAAATTAGATAACAAACAGAAAACTTGAAAGACTGAACTGCACGCTCAACCAGTTAGAGACACACTTATATTTACACTGCATGATGAGATGTAACTACTCAAGGACAATATACATTTAAAGAGAAAAAGACCAATGTAATACTTGTTCTCCAGCCTTATAAATGGTTACCAACACCAGTTGATCATGAGATCTGACTACTCAACTCTTAATATCAGATCAATTATTCAGAAGCTGAATGCAAGAAACTTACCAATGCAACAAAGAAACGGACTACTACGTTTGAGGACTTGATTACAGATGATTGCATCCAAGTTTTTCTCACTGCCATGCGCTCTGCAAAGTGATTCGTAGCAGAAAGAACCCCAATAAATAGCCGAATAGGACTCTTAGGTAAAGGACGAGCTTTCCACTTCTCTGACATCTCCAGTACTCTTTGAGGTGAGAAACTTGGATGAGACGAGGGAAGAGAAGTAGCATAAACCGAATGTACATCAACATCTCCTTTAATTGCTAATCCGGTTGCATCTTCAAGTGTAAAACCCTAAAGTTAAAGCATAAAAATAATTAGAAAAAAGTGCATTGCATTAATGATAGGGAAAACATGGGAAACAGACAAGGAATAAAACTGAAAAGATATAACCAGACCAGACAGCTCAAAACACATAAAATCATTAATCATAATTATGGCCTTGCCATATTCGCGCAATTTCTCTAAATCACACAAAGAAAAAAGGTAACTAAACACATAATGTCAAATGGAATTCAGAAAGTGGGTGGAGACAAGGGGGAAAGGAAACCAACAACAAAATCTGAGAGGTTATGTAAAATCACTTTAAAATGCAAACAATTGAACAGGATTTCTTTTCCCAACAACAAGAGCTGTACGGCAGAACTAGCAGCACTATGTGCACCAAATTTGCAATTTTGCACCATGCAAATCTCAGAGGCAAACATAAGCAATGTAGGTAAGTTAAACAGTTATGCAACATACCGTCCGATATGGAAATGAAGTCACATGCCTGCCCCCAACACTAATATGGAATCCATCCACACCAGCACGTATGGTCAGGATAAACAGTCTACCCTCTGTAAAGGGAAATGGCCAGGTAACTTCTGGCTTCTGCTCACGCCCTATGAATCGCTTAAACCATGAGGTAGTCTTGGTCTTGGACTCCTTTGAGTCTACCATATCATTCCGCATCCACTTTTCACATCTCCCATATCCATCAACTGCCACATAAAGTCATGTTACAACCCACATGGCTTATAACAATCTATATATATAATCTACATAATGAACAGCTAGACAATTGAAAGAAGGTGGATATTGGAGTCTACATTCTGAGAAGCACAAAAGAAGTTCCCCATCCTTTGAAATAACAGTGTGACTGTAGGATGGTCAGGATTGTTAAGGAGGAACCAGCAAGAATACGCAACCCACATGGTATACAGCTCAGTCGAATGCTTTATATATATATATATATATATATAATCTACATAATGAACAGCTACAAGATAGAAAGAAGGGGGGAATGGTTTTTACAATCTGAAATGCAAACAAATGTTCAACATCCTTTATCCTCATATAATCTTCCTATTTCAAGCTATATTCAAACTTTTTCTTGTTAAGGGACATACCCTCATAAAAAGCATTAACTCCATTCATACACAGGTATACTCATGTTTAAAAAAAAAAAAAATTGTGTTTGCTCATGAATCTTTATGCCCATTTACAAATACCATGGCTTGTGATGCAGAAATACAAGGAAAGAACTTATCTTCCAAATCAATGAAACATTGTTACCTAGCATGTCTTCATTGTTCTTAGATGGTAAACCATCACACCTTTGAGCTGATCCCCATTGCATCCTATAACAGGTGTTGTGCTCAATGACTGGCCGATGACTCCAATCTCCCTTTAATCGTGGATTCAAGTGCAATATCTTCGGTGGGTCCTCCCCATCCACTGACTTCAATCCTTGCAACTCAACCATGAATTGCGAGACCATAACTATTCCATCACCCCTCCTCAACTTTGCCAGCTGGGGCACATACTCCTGATGAGCATAATGGGATGTTCCCACCACCGTAACCGACGAGCCTGCAGCAAGCCCACAAGGAAGGAACATCAACTTATCTCCCATTGCCAATTCTTCCCCACTCATCGATAGCCATGAAGGACATGACTCAGGTTTTCCCTCAACTATAGAACTCTCTCCTGTCACCTTCCCATCATGTTTATCCACTTCTTCCCAAGCATTTAACCCTAATGTCCAAGCCTCATCTGCCATCCTCTCAAGCACTGAAAGTTCATTAGTTCTATTCCTTTGCCTCAGAATCTCACCAGTTATCCGACCATATCGATGCTGTAGTGGCCTTATAGGCTTAGACTCACTTTTCTTCTCTTCCAAAGGTTCCTTGCTAGGCCTCACAGGCGCATCTTGGCTCTGGTCTTCCAATTTCCTGTGAAATGTATCCTTATAAACGGAACTAAATAATGGTTTACTCAAATCCCCATCTTGAGAGTCCTGTACTTTGGCCAGGTCCAATCCAACATAGCCATCATCACCACTCATCGCCTTTGCTATCTCTAGAAACTGGGGAAACTTAACGGATATGAAGACCAAGTACAATGCCGCTAAAGCAAACAATAAATGCTGCAATTTGAACCTCCTAGCAACAGAAGGTTCAATTTTCAGCCTCTTCATCTCTATTAAACTAAAACAGACTACAGTATACTCTACAACAACCAAAAAGTTCCGATGCCCATTTCTTCGATGACCAAAGAGAAACCCAATACAAGCTCCAACTCTAAACCCAAGAAAAACACGCAAAGTAAAGCTTTCCCAAATCCTCAAGACAAACCCCTATCCAATATTCAATACCGAATCAATAGTGGCAAGAAACGCAAGCATACACTAAGAGAACTCGAACACCGTAATAGGTTCAGAGGGATCGAGTTCAAGAATCAAGCAATGTCAACAATTCAGCATCACAATGCAAGAAAACGCATCAACAAAATTCAACACAGCAAAGCTTAATATCATCAAAGCCTCACCGGTATTCTGCACACAGTTTGATCTCGACCCAGAAGATACCGTACTGTGAAAATGCACATGGGATTAGATTGAGGAGGGAGAAGTAGGGGAATGTTGGTACAAAAAGGAGGAAAATTTATTCTGAGATAAAAGGAAGATATTTTACTCAACGAGAGAATAACTGATGCTAAGTAGATTTCGTTGCCATTCTTTTGGGTTTTTTTATTTTCTTTTGCCCCCCATTCCGCAAAGAAGGGTCAGGTGCCGGCACCTAAAATATATTTTTCTTTTCTTTCTTTTTCTTTTTTTCTTCTTTTAATTTGATCAAATTGGACTTAACAAGGAAGTTTTGGTTTTTTCAATCAGTTAGACTTGTTTACAATCTTACAACAACAACCAAAAAAAAAAAGATTTGTTTACTTGTGAGAGTTTAAAGATTGTAGTTTGTATGTTGAGGGGCGTTGTGTCTATATTTGAGGTTTGTAAGTTTGTAATTTTTATGTTGGAATTTCTTTGGCCATTTATAACTGTGTGTAGAGGCACACTTGTGAGTCTCATGTTACGGTGAAGATACACGTGTGTATTTCATTACCCCTAAGAGCATCTACAATGGACTCCTTAAATCACCTCATTAGATAAATTTTAAGGAGGAATTAAAAAAATACAACTACAACCATATGCTCTATCCACTTCCTAAAAATAGTAAGATCTTTAGGAGCTCATGAATCTTAGGAGAGAGAAAGAACTCCTAATGGCTATTTATAATTTAATGTTGCTTTGTTTTATACATATTTTTTATTTTTAATTAATTCTAACTTTTTTATATAATTTTTTAAATAAAAATGGACCAATTATATTGAATTAAAAAAATTATAGTATTTATGACTCCCTAAATTAGAGTATGATTGGAGTTCAAATTTTATAGAGAATTCCTAAAATAACTTTTGTGTGTTTTTAATTAAAAAATAAAAAGCATGATTGTAGATACTCCCTTAGATTCGCTTAAGTTCTTCTCACTATTCATGAATTCCTAATTTTTATATGTTTTTTGGTTCAACTCTTTTTTATACTTTAACATAGTTTAATAATGTTATTACCGGCCCGGAATTCAATTTTTCATGTTTGTTTTTTCCTTAATTTTATTTTATGAGCAAGTTGGACTATTAAGAGCATCAGGGGGTGTAAAACTACTTTTACATCCCCTTTATACGTTCGGGGGGTGTTAATACATTTTTTTGCTCCAATGAGAAAAGATGTAAATCTAAAATGTATAATTATTTTGCTTATCTTAATTCGTTTTTATGTTAAATTTGTATTTTATGTTTACTTTATAAAATTAATTTTTTTTGTATTAGGTTAATTTTAATTTTTCAAACAAATAGACTTAAAAATATTTAAATTCGAAGAGGATATGATTTCATCTAAAAACATTGGGGGAGCATGAAAACCACAAATGAGCAAACAACATGTTAATTTTTTTTTCCACCAATTACTATAGCCATGGGTCCCAGCCTTTTATGCTGACTTTTCTTTATTTTTCTTCTCTTTTCTCGGGTGGGTCCTGCCTGCAAGGGATGTAAAAATAGATGTAAATATACATTTTATTTTACATTCCCATAGTGATAATGTATATTACATCAATTTACATCTCCTCATTGAAGATAATTCTGGTAACAAGGAATATACATTTAACATACACCCCTTTATACACTTAAACACTGTGGATGCTCTGAGGGAAACAAAAATGCAAAGCCCTTATCCAATGTTCCAAAACCCTGAGCTACCCCTCACTTCCACTCTCGAGTCTACTTACACAGCGGGTTGAGCCCAAAAGCTCCTAACTTTAAATCCCCAGCAACGATTCATACCTTCATCTATACCCAGAATTCAGCAGCTGAACCAGCTCAATAACTCCCTTTTCAAATCTTGCAATATAGCGGTACGTTATATGCCTTCAAACTCCAGTTCTATTCTTCTCCCACATTACAGCTCTTTGGGTTACAAATTGAATTGCAGTGCAAGATTAAAACTTTCAGTTTCTTTGTTATTAGATACTCTCTGTGAATGCCCAAATAGAATTAAAATAGTTAGTAATATATATTCACTTGGTTCCCAAATCGTTTTCTTTTTTCTTTAAATAAAGTTTGGTTCGGTTTTCCAGATTTTGGTGATATTTATGCTGCGGTTAAAGTGAAATGGCATCTATATCAGGAACTTGGCTGTATCAAGGTGTGTATATTTGGTCTTATTATCGTATTTAATGCTGAAGATAATTTCATATACAAGTTTTCTTTTCTTTTCTTTTTCCAAGCTTTTGGTGTGCTTCTGGCAGATAGAGGATTGAAAGGTGCAGTCTTAGTACAGAGCCATGCTACTGGGAACCCATGTTTCAATCATTTCAAGGTTTGTATTCTCTCCAATAAATTCACTGTTACACACACACACACCCACATATACATATATATATGCATGTTTGTATGACTCTCTCTCTCTCTCTCTCTGCATAACATTGCATATTGGTCACTGGAATTTCTTCTGTTTTTGACTAATTGTGTTGCTTTAGTTTTAGGCGTCCTTTATTCAAGTCTCTATTTCCTTGTGAAGTGATATCTTTAGTAATTAAACATGGGCGATTTGTTTGGTTGAAGTTTTGTTTGATTGTGCTAACAATGCCGGGACTAAACTGGCCATCTGGCTAAGTTGAGATTAGAACTTTTAGTTGGGGAATTTTATAAACTTGTTTTGCAAATGCTACTTGGGAGCATAACTTTTTGGTTGCATGAGGAAAGTGTTTGAGCTTGGGCTGATTTTGTTTGAACCTATGCATTAAAGCTTGCCTTGTAGGCTTGTAAATCTTCCAGAATCAATTGCCTCCCTGCACGCACAGAGCCATGCTACTGGGAACCAATGTCTTTATGTCATTTTAGTGCTTGTATTTTTTGTATTACTCTATGTGTTGACCTAATTTCTAATATCTGGCTCTTTTAAGATGTTTCAAATGGTAGGTTCCAAAATACATTTTTTTCTTCGTCACCTTTCTTTTTCTTTTTTTAAAACCGTTTACTGTTTGCTAATTTTATGTGAATAGCACAGGCATCAACTGTAAGTTCATTTCCAGTTGGATTATTCCAAGTTAGAGTTGGCTCGAATATATCACCAAAGAGGGCACCTTTACTTCCTTCTATAAAGTGCGAGAAGAAGGATGATTCCTCCAAAGATTTCTCTATTGAGCGTCCACCCTATGATAGCTATATGGACTCAACATCTGGGCAGCTTGAACCTGCATCAGGTGCTCGTGCCAGCATTCCAGGGCAGGATTATTGGCCTGAAGGCACTGCAAGTCGAGTTAGGGCTGCCAGGGCTCCTGAGCCCACTGGTAAATCAGTTGGATCTCCATCTTATGGTAGAAATCCTGGAAGTAGGAGGAGGAAGAATAAAACATCAGTTGCTGCTGGTGAATCTTCTGAACCAAGTGTAGAATCAAGTGATACAGTGGCAGTGAAACTGGAACCAGAGACTTCAGAGGACACACTAGAGGATTCTAAAGATTTCCCATCTGAATATGTTGTCTATCAGAATGAACCTGAAAAAGAAGAAGAAACAGGATTTGAACTAGACAAGAAACTTGGACGTCCTCATCCCTTTATTGATCCAGAAACAAAGAAGCCACTAGAGGAGCCACTTACGAGTGATGAACTATGGTGGAACTGGAAAAAACCAGACAAGGAACAATGGTCCAGATGGCAAAGGAGACGACCAGATCTTGAAACGGTTAGTGCATATTTAATAGAGACAAAATGACAATGCTGTATGTAATTTTGGGATTGTGATGTAAGGCTCACAGAACGTATAAGCCAAGGGATCTTTAAACGAATTTTTTTGAATGTGTAGGTGATTTGAACCATGTGACTTTTTAAATATTACAAAATTAAAAGCTTTGTTGTCAAGAATTACTAATCATATTTGGTTTTGGAGTGTGAAAGACCGTGTCGGAATTTATTCACCGGTCCACCCTACTCCTTTTTTTTGGGAAATTGCAAGATTTTGGGTCTTGTTTACATGAGGTTCTCACAAATAAGCAATGCCACTTATATTACATGTATTAATGAAATCAATATAAGCTCACTTCTTGTTAGAGCGCCCATGTAATCAATCCATAAACTAACAGGAACATCAGATGGAAAATGGTCTCCTGCTTTGACTTGGATATTGTCTTTCAACTTCTTCAGGTTTTTCTCAAAGCAATGGCAGAGACTGGGCAAGTAAAGCTTTATGGTGAACATCCAACATTGACTGAAACTTCACTTTACAGAGCAAGACGACATCTTTTCAAGGAAGAGAGGTATAGTTTATGATTAATTTTGTAATCTTCAGTACATATATAATATATTGGAAGACATACATATGTAATTTAGAATTATGTATGACATTACTAAGAATTTATACAAGGATGTGGTGAAAATTGATAGCTGGTTTTGTCATTCTGTCAGTACTAAGGAGAGTGATAACAATTAAGAAACATTGCTGCAGCACCCTTTAAACAAATTAAAGGAGATGAAAGGATTGTCCCAGTGCTCAACTCTTGATTTTGGATTTGTTTGCTTATGGAAGTCTCTCTTGGGACTTTGCATTGTCGACTTAGAACGATTTGTGTCTTAGTTTAGGTTTTATTTAGGTTAGGCATTTTTCCTTGCACCTGCTTCTCTATTTCTTATTTTGTTTGCAAGTAATGATTGCCTTGCAACCTCAAAATATTGATTAAGAACTTCTATGGAGTTTTGTTTTTATGTGGAATTTTCAAGTGACTGCTGATTTTGTAGGCTTCAAGCAGAACAAGAGAAGCTGGATAGAATAGGTCCACTTGCATACTATTCAGAATGGGTTAAGGCGTGGAAAAGAGACACTTCTCGAGAAGCTGTTCAGAAACATTTTGAAGAGACTGGTGAAAATGAAACAACCCAACTAATTGAAATGTTTTCTCAACAAACTGATCGAGAGTATCGTATAATGATGGGGACTGATATCCGTATACGTAGGGACCCCTTAGCAATGCGTATGCGAGAGGATCAAATAAAGCAAAGTACTCACTCCAAAGCTGATAATTTTGTGCGTTATTTTCATGTCTTTCATTCTTCATATCATTATTTAATCATTTCAACCCCTGAAACAGTTCAGTTCATTTAGAAAAGGTTTTCAATTCAGTTTATTTTGATTGGATAAGTGATGCATTCTTGTGCAGTTGTAGTTGGTCAAAACAATGATTGCATACTCCCTTTATTGACCCAATATATTAATCTTTTCCAATCTCCAAGAAAAGAGGGGGAAGATGGATTAACACTTCCATATTTCTGGACT